CAGCTCGGGAGACAGAGAACTCAGGACTGGAGCCCACAGAACTGCCTTGGATGTGACCCTGGACAAATCCAGCCTTTGTCTGTGACTCGGGTTTTCAGTCTCTGAAATGGGGATATTGGGGCTCCGTGCACCCCATGTGGTCTCCCAGCTCTGAGGCTTGGGAGTTGGGTAGAGGCTGCTCACCAGGTCTCCACCACTGCCGGACAGGAGGAGGTCTTTCACCGTGAGGCTGCAGCTTGGGGGCGGGACTGCCAGCTCAGCCTGCTCCTCAGGGTAGAGGCCCGGGTTCCACATTTCTAACCAGGGCAGACAGGGACACAGACAGGGAGAGTGTCAGGTGTGGGCCACTGATCTCCCAGCTTCTCCCTGCCTCCTCCACCTAGGCTTCCAGGATTGACTCCAATGTGCTAAGGATTTTGGGTACAACTTGGGGCCCCAAGGCCTGGGTTGAAGGGGACAGACCCAGCTGGTGCCTCAGTCTCCCCTCTCTGGAAGACAGAAACCCAAATTCATCAGGACATTGTCGAGGGACCCACTGCCAATCAGGAGAGAGAGGCTGGTATTGCCCAGTGTTCTAGACCGGATTTACAGCCAGCCAGGCCTTATCTCCCTTTGGGGCAGGGACCAGGTCTGATTCACCTCTGGTTCCCTCCCACCCGTGCCCGGCGCACTGGAAGTGAGCTGCTCTCCAGAGCACAGACTTCAGAGTCTCATTCTCACGTGTGCCCTTGGGTAAGTAAATAAACCTCTGAGCCTCAGTTTCTTCAGCTCTCCAGTGGGATTCCTAGAGCTCCCACTCCATTGCAAGGCTCAGAGGACAAAGGATGCCCTACTGGGGTGTCTTCTGCATAAAGTCTCTCCCAGGAGGAGGCCTTGACCACTGGGATCCACGACCTCTCACTTTCATGGAGCATCTACTATGACCCAGTCATGGGAGGTACAAAGACAAGGTTGGCAGCATGACACCTGGTGCCACAGCCAGCCTGTGGTGGGTGCATCCCAGCTCTGTGGCTTTGACTTGTTGCTTAACCTCATGGGCACTCCGTTTCACCATCTGGGAAATGGGCCCATGAGAGCATCCATCTCCAAAGGAGGGGTACGTGTGTGATGAGGAAAGGGCAGTGAGAAAGGACACGGAACTCACCCAGGTCTATGGCCACAGAGGCCTCGAGCACCTGGGCCACTGGCCCAGGAGGCCGGCTGGGGCTGTGGGGGAGAGGAAGGAAGGGGGGGCAGAGCCCCTTGCCAGACTCCGAGAAATGGCAGCCGGCCGGGGTGGCGGTGGGCACATTGTGTGGAGGGGTATCCTGCGGGTCGGAGGGCAGATCTTCAGAGATGCCGCTGTCACTGTCCGCAGGAGACCAGAGAGGGGAGCTTGGTGCTGAGTCTCCAGAACCCAAGATACAGCTGAGGAAATCATCAGATTCCGGGGCTGGCAGGACCTGCAGGCACGAGGGGGTGGGGCGGGAATGAGGAGGTCTGTGCTTTGCTCTGGATTGCTGTGTGACTGTGGGCAAGCCACTGACCCTCTCTGGGCCTCACTGGTCCTTTCTGCCAGAATGAGGGCTTGTGGGGCTTGAACACAATCATGTTCCACGAGAACACCATCCTGCCTGAGTTTGAGGTTGGACCCAACTCCAAACTGCTGTGTGTGTGACCCAGACAAGTTACCGGACCTTGGATTCATCACTTCTCAGGCACCCTTGGGGTAGCTGAGAGGTTCAAAGCAATACTGTGCTTTGCTGAAATTACACACCGTGAGCCAGAAATGCTACCGAGCTGAGTGGAGTTCTAGCTGCAGTGGGGGGTCCTCACCTGGTCTCCAACGTGGCCCCAGTCCTCCCCCAGATCTTCATGTCTCAGAATTCCATCCTGTCGATCAAACAGGAGGTCCAGGAGCTCCATGCTGTCCATGGGGCCTATGGAACAGGTGGCGGAAGCCATCTGGGGAAGGATGGGACAGGCATGAGGGTCACAGCCTTTCTCCTCCCCATCTCCCACCTGCATACCCCCCCCCCCTCAGGCCTGTCCAGCTTAAGTTCAACTTCCACTCAATCTGTAGGCCTGGCTTCCACCTCCAAATCAGTGCTGAGGGACTGACCCAGAGTTCCCAGGGCGAGATGAGAGCCGGTTGCTTTTAAAAGTGCTAGACAGGCCCAAACCAGTTTGGTTCAGTGGATAGAGCATCAGCCTGTGGACTGAAAGGTTCCAGGTTCGATTCTGGTCGGGGACGTGTACTTTGGTTGCGGGCCCATCCCCAGTAGGGGGTGTGCAGAAGGCAGCTGATTGATGATTCTCTCTCATTGATGTTTCTAATTCTTTATCCCTCTCTCTTCCTCTCTGTAAAAAATCAGTAAAATATATTTAAAAATGAAGTAAAATAGCCGAAACTGGTTTGGCTTAGTGGCTAGAGCGTCGGCCTGCGGACTGAAAAGTCCTGGGTTCGATTCCAGTCAGGGGCATGTACCTTGGTTGCGGGCACATTCCCAATGGGGGAGTGTGCAGGGGGCAGCTGATAGATGATTCTTTCTCATCAATGTTTCTAACTATCCCTCTCTCTTCCCTTCTGTAAAAAATCAATAAAATATATATTTTTAAAAATAAATAAATAAAATAAAATAAAAGTGCTAGACAGATGTACACACGGGGACAATCAGCCTGCTCCCTCCCTGGAGCTGACAGAATTGGCCCCTCATTCTCAGCCTGCCCATGTCCCCTGGCTAAGCGGGGAGAGAGCCTGGGAGAAGGAAGAGCAGCCCTGGAATGGGGGCATGGCTTTGGTCACTGCATTCTCTCTCTGGGCCTTTCTTCCCATCTGTGCAATGAGGTGGGGGTTCCTTCCAACTCTGGGAGCTTGGGGAGAGTTTCCTGGCATGGCCCTCCCTCCGCCCGCGGACCCAGGCAGGGCTCACCTTTCCAGCAGGTAGATCTCCATTCATGAGCCCGGCCAGCTCTGCCTCCAGCTACTTTCCGTGTCTCTTGTCGGTAGAAGCTCTCCCCAAGTCCTGTTCCTGTCTGTGGATCTGTCTCCCCACCCCCAAAAGATGCTGAAATAGTCCTGGGGTGCTCCCAACCCACCCCCAGCTGCTGATTGGGGGACAGGCCAGACAGACAGGGTAAAGGGCCAGTGATACCAGGGCAGGCTGGGGGAGGGAAGAGAAGACCCGTTATCTTGATGTTTTGTGCTTTTCCTGCAGGCAAGGGGCAAAGGCCAAAGTCTGGGGTGCCTTCGCTCTGCCATGACCTCTCCCCTACTTTTAGGGACTGCTTCTTATCAGAGTCCTAGACGTCGGATAAAGGAGAGTCCAGGGCTCCGGGCAGGTCCAGTCCACTCCTAGGACAGGACAAACAGGAGGACCACCCAGACCTTTGCTGAAGCGGTTCTCTCTGCAGGAGCTCCCTCCCTTCAGCACAGCTGGCAACCCCCTGCCACCCTCCAAGCCCTCCAGGGCTGAACCCCTGTAACCAATTCCTTCTGGAATCTTCTTATCGTTAATTCATTCAACAACTATTTACTGAGCCAAACTTGTTTCCACCTTGGGGCCTTTGCATTTGCAGTCCCCCTGTCTGGAACTCCCCTCTCCTCCTCCGCTGACTCAGTCACCGTGAATGTTTGATATCTGTGAATCAGCCCAGGTGGCTGAGAGCCCATCTCTGACCCGGCAAAGAGAAGACCCCTCCCCAGGTATCTTTGTCAGATCCTTGTTTTCACTGAACTCCTTATTTAAAATGTTCTTACTTGTGTATTCACTTGCTTGGTGTCTTCCCTCAGTTCTCCCCTCCCCACTGCACCCAGAACGGAAGGGCCTTAGGGGCTAGAGTGTCTGTGTTCTCTGCTGGGCCCTCCGTGTCCAGGAAATGCCTGGCACACAGTAGGTGCTCAATCAGCTCTTCCTCATTGAGCACCTCCTGTGTGCCAGCCACCATTTGAGGCACCTGGGCTGAGGCAGTGAACGAGCTAGACCATAAACGTATAAATAAACCAGTAAACAGATAAACGGGGTAAGTACTACTGAAAGAATAAGCGAAACCATGATAAAGGGCAATTGAGGACTAGAAAAAGCCCCTTTTAGAAGGTGACATTTAAGTACAGCTCTTAACGATGACAGAGAGACAGCCATGGAAGATCTAGGGGCCAGGGGAAGGGTGTTTCGGGTAAAAAAAAAAAAATAATAAAAATAAAAGCACATGCAAAGGCCCTGGGAGGGCTGTGCTGGCAGTGGGAGGAGAGAGGGGCTGGGTGAGGAAAAGGGAGGGAGGGAGCGGTCAGGAAGGGAAGCACAGGAGCAGGTTGTGAAGGGCTCTCTGGGCTAACAGAAGTTTGACTTATACTAATATAGCGAGAAGCTGTTGATGCCTAGCCGCTGTGGCTCAGCTGGCTTAGCTTCATCCCATGCATCAAGAGGTGCCGGTTCAGTTTCCAGTCCGGGCTCATGCCCAGGTTGTGGGCTGGATCCCTGGTAGGAGGCATTCATAAGGCAGCCAACTGATGACTCTCATCAATGTTTCTCTCTCTCTCTACCTCTTTCTATAAAATCAATTAAAAATTATTTTTAAGACAGAAATTCTTAAAAAAAAAAAAATAAAAAAATAAAAAAATAAAAAAAGGAAGCTGCCGGGACCGGTTTGGCTCAGTGGATAGAGCATCGTCGGCCTGCGGACTGAAAGGTCCCGGGTTCGATTCCGGGCAAGGGCATGTACCTTGGTTGCGGGCACATCCCCAGTAGGGGGTGTGCAAGAGGCAGCTGATCGATGATTCTCTCTCATCGATGTTTCTAACTCTCTATCCCTCTCTCTTCCTCTCTGTGAAAAATCAATAAAATATATTTTAAAAAAAAGAAAGAAAGAAAGAAAAAGGAAGCTGTTGAGAACTTAGTGAATACTCAGCTACATCAGGACTTCTGAATGCCAGGCATGATGCTGACAGCTAGGTTTACAGTGTAACTAAAAAAAACCCTCCTTGCTCCCCAAAAATTTAAATCCTGGTGTATATTTCTCAATGCATCGATCATTATTTATTCATGCAACAAAACTTTAATGAGGACCTACTACGTGCCACACATGATGTGTTTCTTGTATCCAGCAATAAGTTACATTGCAACAGTTGCCCCTCTCCAAGGGGGGTGGGGAGGCGGGCACTGAGAAATGTCTGGGGACATCTATGGTTGTCACAACTGAGGAATATTCCTGGCATGGAGTAGGTAGGGGCCAGGGATGCTGCTTAGCACTGCAGTGTCCATGACAGCCCCACAGAGAGTGACATGACCCCAATGTCAGCAGTGCCCGGGGGAGACCCTGTGTTACAGTAGCTGTCCCCTCTGGATGCTGGTATCATTATCTTGTCCTTGGCTCCCAGATCTCTCTTATTTCCTTTGCAACGGCTCTGAGGTGGATCTTTAAGGGATTTGTTTGGTTTGGCTTGTCTTTAGTGATCCTGTCATAATATTTACTCAGCTTTTGCTGCGGAGGCACTGCGCCAAGCCTGTCCTGGCAAGTGTACCAAGTAGGTGAAATCTGATTTCGGGACTTCTTTCTGCCTCCCCCTTACCCCATTCATGACTCTCAGGAGTCCAAGTTTCCTTGCACATAATTCCTCCTCCTCCTCTCATGAAACCTGCCAGAAAGAAGGATGTGGCATTACTCACTTATACCTTCATGTAGATTAAGACCCTCCTTCTCCCCCTCCCCAGGATATTTGTGTTTCTTTAAATTTTTATAATTATAGACTTCAGAAGCTTTCATAAACCCCAATGAAGAAATATCTGGCCCTAATCAGTTTGGCTCAGTGGATGGAGTGTCGGCCTGCGGACTCAAGGGTCCCAGATTCAATTCTGGTCAAGGGCATGTACCTTGGTTGCCGGCACATGGGGGAGTGTGCAGAAGGCAGCTGATTGATGTTTCTCTCTCATCGATGTTTCTAATTCTCTCTCCCTCTCCCTTCCTCTCTGTAAAAATATCAATAAAATAGCCGGGACCGGTTTGGCTCAATGGATAGAGCGTCGGCTTGGGAACTGAAGGGCCCCGGGTTTGATTCCGGTCAAGAGCAAGTACCTTGGTTGCGGGCATATCCCCAGTAGGGGGTGTGCAAGAGGCAGCTGATCGATGACTCTCTCATTGATGTTTTGAACTCTCTATCTCTCTCCCTTCCACTCTGTACAAAAATCAATAAAATATATATTTAAAAATATCAATAAAATATATTTTTATATAAAAAAGAAATATCTGAACAAGTATGATAAGGATAAACATTTGAGGGAGAGCAGGACTTTTCGATACCCTTGACATCACATTATCCCATCAACTAGACACAACCACCTACTTCAAATTTCCATAATAGAGCCCACCAACACGTTTAAGTGTGAAACGCAACCCCAAGGATGCTGTGGCCAAACCAGAGGAGGGAGCACTGCATCAATAAACGGCTTTGCAAAACTTATCAGAGTTTTACACTCTTGGAGCGAACAGAGTTTGTCACATTTCCCAAACATAATTGTATAGGTGTGTTTTGTTTTTTTTCATTTTTATTTGATTTGTTCCGAACCATTTCTGACATACGAAAACGTTGAGAGATAACCACTAGAATGACTAAAATAAAAAGACAGGCAACATCAGAAGTTGTCAGAAGCTATGGAGCAATTGGAACGCTCGCCCACTGTTGGTGGGAATCAAAATGGCCCAATCACGTTGGTAAACTTTGGAAAACTGGCAGTCTCTTACAAAGTTAAACATTTATTCACCATACGATTTAGCAATTTCACTCCTGGGTATTTACCCAAGAGAAATGCAAGTGTATGTTCACAAAAAGACATGAAATGTCATGACAACTCTACTCATAACTGTCCCCAACTGGAAAGAACTCAAATATCCAACAACAAGAAAATGGATATCCATACCACACAATACTACTCAGCCAGCACTCATCAAATTGAACACCCCTAAGACCTGCATTATTATTGTAAATTAATTCTACCTCAATAAAAAGTATAAAAAATATATATGTACATAAAACATTTAGAAACAACCAAAACATCCATTTTAAAAATCCATCCATATTGCATTGATTAATAGAGTTTGATACATTTGCATAATGGAATATTATGTAACTGTGGGAATGAATAAAGATTAGTTGCACCTACTGATAGGGGACAATATTATAAACATTGCATCATATATTTTTTTTATTGTGGTATCATTCAACCTATTTATTTATTATCATTATTATTGCTTTAGTCCTTACCCAAGGATATTTTTTCCATTTATTTTTCTTTGAGAGAGTGGAAGGGAGGGGAGAGAGAGAGAGAGAGAGGGAGAAATCAACTGGTTGCCTCCCACACACGCCCTGTCCTGAGCTGGGGGATCAAACCTGCAACCGAGATACATGCTCTTGACTGGAAATAGAACCTTGAGACCCTTACGTCCACAAGCCAATGCACTAACCACTGAGCAAAGCTAGCCAGGGCTCAACACACATTTATTTGCCTATTCTGTTAGGCAACAAAAATGTCTTTTGCTCCTTCCGTTCGTCTATATTGGTTCAGGAACTTAGCTAATCAGAAAGAGGAAGAGGTGTGGGGTGAAGAGCTAAAAAGTCTCCAGCTATGTTCTGGCCAGTATGGCTCAGTTGGTTAGTGTTGTTCCGTGCACCTAAAAACATTGCTGGTTAGATTCTCCATCGGGGCACATGCCCAGATTGTGGGCTCCATCCCCAGTACGGGGGATGTAGAGGGCAGCCGATAGTTTTTTTTCTCCCTCCCTAAAATAAATAAGGACATATTTAAAAAATAAAAATAATAAAGTCTCCAGCTAGGAATCATCTGTAAAATAGGGACAATCATCATGGCAAGATCTACTGTGTGCAATATCCCCAGGCCTGGCACCATGCCTGCCACACAGTAGCTGCCCACTCAGTACTTACGGAAGGCACAACTGAATGTCTATAAATATAGCTGTTGCAGCCTGTAAGCCAGTTCTGGCTCTCTGCTTGTTTTTGTAAATAAAGCTTTATTGGCACACAACCACACCCATTTGTTTATGTAATGTCTGTGGCTGCTTTATATACAATGGCAGCATTGAGCAGTTGCAACAGAGACACTGTTGCCTGCAAAGCTGGAAATATTTAGTATCTGGTCCTTTTCAGAAAAAGTTGGAACTTGCCATTATTAGAAATAGCAAGGGTTAGCAGGTTAGACCTGCTCTGCCCACTACAGGTGCCCCAGGCCACTATGGCTGTTGAACACTTGAAGTATAAAAAGTGTAATCGAGTACAATGTTATTTCATTTTTGTTAATTTGAAATTTAAAACTATTACTCAAGTCACTTAATGGACAAATTTTGAGTAGACATGAAACAACCTGGGTTTGTGAGTCTACGCTTTTTACTATAAACTTTCTGAACTCCATAAGTACACAAAGATTTAGTGACCAAATTGATAAGCACATTGGATGTCCAAGATTAGTATGAAGAAGTGTAGTACCATATTCATAATTTTGATATTGACCACATGTTGAAATGAAAATAGCCTGGATTTAGTAATACAATAATTTGGATTAACAAAATATATCCAGATGAAAATTAATTTTACTTTGTGCTTTTTAAACTATAGCTGCTAGAAAATTTAAAGTGATACATGATATTTCTCTCAGACAATGCTGAGTTAGAACAGGGCCTGGGTTCAAATCCTGGCCCTGACCCTTGTCACTCTGTGGCTGCGCTTCTCCCAGCCTCAGTATCCTTATCTGCAAAATAGGGGATAAAGGACCTGCCTTGCCGGGTTGTTGGGAGGATTCAAGGATTAAAACACGTGAAATGCCTGGAAGGGACCTCCACAGAGTCAGGCCTGAAAACCTGGCCATCGTCATGGCTGTTACTATTATTGCTAGTATGTGTGTCTATAAGAACTATGTTGTGCTCCAGTCCCAGACAGATGCCCCCTGCCTGTCACTTCTGGGTGGCCTCACCCTTTGGCCACAGCACAGCCTGGGCCTAACGACAGCCCCCATTTTGCACAGGCGGGCAGAGGGGCTAATAAGGGGTTATGACTCACTGTGGCCACGCCGTGAGTCAGCCACCGTTGAGACAACGCCCAAACGGGGGCTTGCCCCTGGTCGCCATGTCACCTCCCATTTCTTTCGGCTTCTCTCTACACTTCTCTTTAAGGTCAGTTTTGCAGGGAAGAAGCGAGTGGTTCCGGGAGCAGCAGCTCCTCCCCCAGCCTCTTCCTCCTCCTCTCCTCTGGGTCCCTCCCTGGGATGTGGCCTTGCCAGGGAGTGAGTAAAACCCTTGTGACATGGGTGTGGCGGGGGCAGGCCAGGGGCTGGAGGAGAGGGGGAACTCTGATCTGCCTCTTGAGCAATGCTAACTGATTAGCACCGAATCCTGGAGACCGCCCAGTTCTCTCTCCTCTTCCATCATCCCCTGTGGCATTTCCAGAAAGTTCCGGGCTCCTGGGAGTGGGTGAAGAGAGGGTGTGAACCAGGGTCTCCAAACACCATGAAGGAGGAAAACTTGGTGGGGAGTAGGCTCCCTCTGCCCTTCCTGAAGATTGAAGGAAGGCTGAAACCGGTTTGGCTCCTGGATAGAGCGGACCCAGGGTCCCAGGTTCGGTTCCGGTCAGGGGCATGTACATTGGCTGCGGGCAAATCCCGGTGTGTGTGTGTCGGGGGGGTGGGGGGGGGTGCAGGAGGCAGCTGGTCGATGTTTCTCTCTCATCGATGTTTCTAGCTCTCTATCCCTTCCCTTCCTCTCTGTAAAAAAATCAATAAAATGTTTTTTAAAAAAAAGATTGAAGGATGTATGTTTCCCTAACGGTTTGGCTCAGTGGATAGAGCATCGGCATGCAGACTGAAAGGTCCCAGGTTCAATTCCAGTCAAGGGCATGTACCTTGATTGCAGGCACATCCCCAGTAAGGGGTGTGCAGGAGGCAGCTGATCGATGTTTCTCTCCCATCAATGTTTTTAACTCTCTATCCCTCTCCCTTTCTCCCTATAAAAAAATCAATAAAACATATATATTTTTAAAATGCAATATCTTCCCCCACCCCAAAACCAGGTCCAAAACGAGGTAGTTTTTTGTTTGTTTGTTTTTTAATTGAAGGGTGTTCTGTCCAATAATTCATTCATTCATTCTGGTGACCACTATTTACTGAGCACCTACTGTGTGCCAGTGTTGGGGACACAGCAGGGAACATAAATATCCCCACTCCCTCTCCCAGTGGAGCTTATTGGGGGAGACGGATGCTAAATAATATCATTTAGGCATCAGCAAGAAAATAAGTAATATTAAGAGACCATGCATAGAAATAAAGCAGGGCCCAGCCAGTGTGGTTCAGTGGTTGAGCATTGACCCATGAACCAAGAAGTCACCAGTTTGATTCCAGTTAGGCACATGCCTGGGTTGTGGGCTCGATCCCCAGTAGGGGGGCATGTAGGGGGCAACTGACCAATGATTCTCTCTCATCACATTCTCTCTCCCGCTTCCTTCCTCTTTGAAGTCAATAAAAATATACATTTAAACAATATTAAAAAGAGAAAACAGGAAAGGGAGATGGAGATGTGGGGTGACTTGTAATTTTATATAAGGTGCTCAGGTGGGAATGTGGAAAGAGTGTTGGGAGCAGAGAGCACTCGTATAAAGGCCCTGAGGTAGGAGGAATGCAAGGAGGTGCAGGGGGTTGGAGCAGAGTGAGCAAAGGGAAGTAAGGAAGGGGGCTGAGGGCTTTGTTGCCCTCAGGTAAAAAGGCTGATGGTCAGTCCTGTGAGGGCTCTAGAAGTTTCTAGAAGGGGCTGTGTGGGACATGTGTGTGGACAGGGTTCAAAGGCCTGGGTATCAGGATACTGGTGTGTGTGTGTGTGTGTGTGTGTGTGTGTGTGTGTGTTTTAATCCTCCCCCAAGGATATTTTTCTATTGATTTTTTAGAGTGAAAGAGAGAGGGAAAGACAGAGCGAAACACTGATATGAGAGAAACACATCAACTGGTTGCCTCCTGCACATGCCCTGGCCAGGGCTCAGGCTGGGGAGGAGTCTGCAACTGAGGTACTTGAGCTTTGACAGGAATCAAACCCCGGGATCCTTAGGTCCGCAGGCCGAGGCTCAATCCCCTGAGCCAGACTGACGAGGGCAGGACACTGCTCTCTAAGCCTGCTGTTCAGGGCTCAGTCTTAGCTTCACACAGCAAGGCGGCCCCCCAGCTCCAGAAGAAGGAGTGGCCCCTGGGCAGTGTCCGAGGAAGGCCTTGGGCTAGACCAGCAAACATGGCCGGTCCCCCACGCATCTCCCATCCCCACCCCTCCTCCATGTCTGCCACCATCTCCTCCTGGTGATTGCTTTATGGCTGGTGGGTCCAAGGTCGAAGCAGACCTCTCACCAGCCAGAGGAGGGCTCTGCGGGCTTCAGGTGTGATCATCTCACCGTCCTTTCTGTTGCGGGGGGGGGGGGGGGGGGGGGGGGGTGTTAGAAGACAGAAAGGATGTCTCCTCCCGTTCCAACCTGGGACTCTGGGAAGGTGCCCAGAGGCGGGGTGGTAGGCATCTCTGGGTCTCCAGGCACTGAGTGGCTCCTGGCTGCTAAAATAAAGTGACACGGACTGAGCGGCCGAAACAACAGAAATGTATTATCTCTCAGTTCTGGAGGTTGGAAGTCCAAGATCAAGGTGTGGGCAGGGCTGGTTCCTGCTGATACCTCTCTCCTTGGCTTGTACATGCCGTCTTCTCCCCGTGTCTCTGTGTTCACATTTTCTCCTCCTATAAGGACACCAGTCACATGGATCAGGGCCCACCTTAATGACCTCATTTTAACTGGCTACATCTGTTAAGGTGGTATTTCCAAATCCTGTCACATTCTGTGGTCCTGGGGGTTAGGATTTCAACATATGAATTTGGGGTGGGGTGGAGTCGGGAGAAGACACAATTGAACCCACAACGCCTTTCCCAAGCTGTTACACAACCCAACCCTGGGGGTCTTGACTCAGCGGTAACCTCCAAAGTCACCCCAACCCCAGTCACTCTGGCATACACCTTCTAGGGGCTCTGTTTACTTATCCACGTTATCTGCTTACACCGGGGAGCAGGAACCTGTCTGTTTGGGTCACTGGTGCCCCCCCTGAGAAGGATCCCCTACCAACTTCAACAGACTTGTGGAATGAACCTCACATTCAATGTGCACATTAGACCCCAAGAGAAATGGGCCTGCTCAAGGCCAAGTTCAAATGTCAGCCTCGTCTCATATCAGTTCATACATTTCCTATCTTGTGCAGAATTACTTTGCAAAGAAACCAACATCCTGTCTTCAGCTCAGCCAACACACTGGCTGTGATACCACGAAGTCACTCCTCCCCGCTGAGACTCTGTTTTCCTGTCTGTAAAATGTGACCGTTGATCTAAAGGTTATAAGAAGGTGACACATGGGATTAATGTTTAATCCCAGGGAAAATCTGATCAGGAGTGGTGCTCGACTGAGTCACGGGCCAGGTTGTGTACATATGAGGAGAGGCCCTCACCCCATGTGCGCGAGGCTGGCCGAGCTGAGCTCAGGCAGCACCCAGCCTTGGAACTTCGCCCCGAGATTTCTTGGCCAGAATGTCCATCCGGCACCAGCGGAAGGCCTCTGAATGCTCGGATCTCCACCAGAATCTCCAGGTCAGAGAATGCCAGCGAGGTCACCGGCCTGGAATAGGACCACCCTCACATTGCATGTCTTTGTACAGTTACCTTTTACTTTTTTTAAATATATTTTATTCATTTTTTTACAGAGAGGAAGAGAGAGTTAGAAACATCGGTGAGAGAGAATCATCGATCAGCTGTCTCTTGCACACCCCCTACTGGGGACATGCCTGCAACCAAGGTACATGCCCTTGACCAGGATTGAACCTGGGACCTTTCAGTCCGTAGGCTGACGCTCTACCCACTGAGCCAAACTGGTTCTGGCTGTACAGTTACCTTCTATTTGGGGTATCTGATACTGGTCTCAATTTACCATTATAAAGTGGTTTTCTAAAATAAATGAATCAAAGAAATAAAGCGAAGTGGACAATAAAGGGGAAGTTGGGACTAACCTTTTTCTTCAACAAATTTCTCTTTAAAGGAAACAGTGTGACACCAGGGCAAATTGAAAGAACAGCACCTGCCACCTAAAACAGAGGCGAGGGGAAAGAAACGACATTATTACATTCTAGGCAGCTACTGTTGCCTGCGGAAGGTTCTGGACTACGTGACACTGTTAAAACAAAATTAGCAAATAAGTGTTTAAGACACATCAGTACCCAGTTGAGGGTTTTTTTATTTAATCAGAAGGTTTAAAAGAGGATTGACAAGGAAGCAATTTCTTAACTTTCATTAGTTTCTTTTTATATGCAATTTTTTACGTGCAAGGATGCATGGAGAACTCACTTTGTGCAGTGAATCCTCTCACCACCTCACTCTTTGGGACTTTTTTCTCAAAGAAAAACAGTGCCATTCCTCCTAGGCCCAGCTTCCAGGTCTAATAAAAACCAGAGCTAGGCCCAGCAGGTGTGGCTCAGTGGTTGAGTTCTAACCTATGAACCAGGAGGTCACGGTTCAATTCCTGGTCAGGGCTCGATCCCCAGTGGAGGGGTGGGTGGGGTGCAGGAGGAAGACAATCAATGACTCTCATCATTGATTCTTCTATCTTTCCTTCTTCCTTCCTCTCTGAAATCAATAAAAATAAATTTTTTAAAAACACAGCTAGTATTTATTGATCCCTCACTCTGCCAGGCACTGGCTAAGTATGTGGATCCTCCCAAACCCCCAGTGAGTGGGGGTTTTGTCTTAACCGCTTTATAGATGAGGTCACGGAGGCTCAGAGAAGCGCTGTCTCTTGCCCGAGGTGGGAAGCAGTGACGCTGAAATGCAAAGCTGGGTTATAAAGCCAGCTGGCCCCTGGGTGGCAGTGCTTATGGCAACACCAGGCAGGAGGATCTGGGCTCTGCCGTGTCATCAAGCACAGAGCGGACAGCATAGCTACAGCTCTCTTGGTTCAACCCAAGCCCCGCTCCTTGCAAACTCTGTGACCTTGAGCAAGTGACTTGGCCTCCTTGTGCCTCAGCTTCCCTTCTCCAAAATGAGGATAATAGTAAAGATCTAGTAAGCTCCTACCTGTAAGCACTGGCGTACCAAAGAAGCAGTGATAACAGGAGTTATCAATGAAGGGGGGTATTGTCTTTTGAAAATTCAAAAAGGAGAATAAACCCTATTTTATTAGTTGCTTTTCTATTATCGCTGTGTATAGGCAATTCTGAATTATGTCAGTGATAAAATACTCTCCCCCTAAGAAGTCTGTTATTGGTATAAACCAGAGGTCAACAAACTTTTTCTGTCAAGAGCCAGAGAGTAAATATTCTCAGCTGTGCAGGCCGGACGGGGACCGGCAGCTGGCAGCGGCAGTGCGAGAGCCACCAGACAACTCGTGAATGCGGGAGTGTGGTTGTGTGCCAGTCACCTTGAGATGTGGATGCTGAAATTCAAATCTTCTTTACTTTGCACATGTTGTGAAATATTATTCTCCTTTTGATTTTTT